TTTGTTAAGGCCATCCCATTTGTGGTGTATTCCTGTTAGAGCGGCACTAGGGAACCAGAACAAGTACCTACTGCCCTACTATGTGCCAAGCACTATGCTAAACATGGGGATATGATTAATCATAACCAAAAAACCAAACCCATTGCCATCAAGTTGATCCTGACTTATAGCGACACTATAGGACAGAGTAGAAAGGCCCCACTGAGTTTCCAAGGCTGTAAATCTTTATGGAAGCAGACTGCCTCATCTTTCTCTCATGGAGGCGTTGGTGGGTTTGAACTGCTGACCTCTAGGTTAGCATCTGAATGCTTTAACCACTGCACCACCAGAGCTCCTTTGATTATCATCCAACAAAACTCACTGCCATCAAGTCAATTCCAACTCAAAGCAACCCCTCTTTGGGTCTCTGAGGCAGTATCTTTATGGAAGTAGATTGCCCAGTCTTCCTTCTGAGGAGTGGCCTTCTGGTTAGCACTCAAATAGGTGGAAGAAATAAAACATGTAATTACAGGTGCAATGAACATTACAGAGAATGGTATGCAAGTGTATATATAATATAGTTGGAGCAGTGAAGAAGTACAAGTCAGAGAAGGTTTCCAAAAGAAAATAACAATGTTCAAGCTGAGATCAGAGAATTCTTAGGAGGTGGGAGTGTCTGGGGTAGGGTGTGGGGGATAGGCAAGAGAGGAAGAGATTGCTGTGGCTCTTTGGATGAGATCTAAACTCCTTTGTTGTCGTTACTGTTAGGTGCCATCAAGTTGGCTCTGACTCATAGTGACCCCATGTACAACAGAATGAAACACTGCCCAGTTGGGCACTATCCTCACAATCCTTGTTATACTTGAGCCCATCACTGCAGCCACCGTGTAAATCTATTTTGTTGAGGGGCTTCCCCTTTTTCTCTGACCCTCCACTTTATTTTTTTTTTCAAAACATTATTATTATCATTACTGTATTATTTTGCTGAAGATATTTTAATACATCTGAAAGTGTTTCTTTAATGTTTTTTTTTAAATTTTATTTTGATTTGGGTGAAGATTTACAGAGTAAATTCACTTTTCATACAGCAGTTCACATATACTTTGTCTCATGTCATTGACCAAAATTTACAATGCAACAGCTCCCCTCCCACTTCCTCCCCATAGTTACCTTTTCCCAGTGTCCATCCCTCCACACTCTTCTGCACCCTGAGCTGTCTCCCTGTGCATAAGCAGCCCTTCCTTCTCCCATGATTGTTCTCTCCAGGGTGTGTGTCTACTTGAGGTAAATGTTTAACTCACTTGCTGACCCTCCACTTTACCAAGCACGTTATCTTTCTTCAGGGAATGGTCCCTTCTGACAACATGAAAAAAATAGGTGAGATGCAGTGGCCATTCTTGCTTCCAAGGAGCATTCCAGCTACACTTCTTCCAGGACAGATTGGTTTGTTCTTCTGGTAGTCCATGGTATTTTCATTATTATTTGCCAACACCAGAACTCAAACTCCTTAACTTGGTATAAAAGGCTTTCCTGACATGACCCTTTCTTTACCTCTCCACTCTGTTTGAGTGGGCAGAATGGATTGGAGGGCAGAGCAAGATGAAATCCTGGGGGACAGTGTGGCGGCTGTTGCAGTAATCAGAGAGGTAAATGATAGTCCTAAACTCAGGCATTCATGGCACATGGATAGATAATTTTTGATGTTCACCAGAACCTCTGCTGAGTTGTCCTCCCTTATAAAGATCCATACAGCTTATATGGTTGAGAGACAAGGGTGCTAGCACACCAGGCGCAGTCAGGGACTCACCTCCATACCTAGTGGAGGCTCTGGGGATGTCTCCCACTGCAACTCAACATGATGAACAAAGGCAGAGTGAACCAAGAACTGTGAACTATTTTACCAATGTCCAGACAGAGACAGAGACGTGAGGACATATATACACTGGCTATGTCTGAGCAATAGCGGTCTGTCATTTATGTAGAGAGGACACTTGCATTGTGTAGACATTTATTTGTTGGTTGTATGTGTGGCTATGTGCCTGATACAAACAAATTCTGCCTGAAAAATGAGAAGAGGGCTGTTAATGCTAGTGAGAATTCCTCGAGTACACCTTGGCTTAAGGAGCAGGGAGAAATCATAAAAACTGGGATGAATAACAAGCACATAAATAATTAAAAATTATTCTGTAGTTAGGGAGAATTACGTAGAATGTAGTTCTAATTTAGAGTCACAGAAGCAAGAAAGCATTGCAGTTGGTTCATGGCAAAGAGAAGTTTCTGAGGGTCTCACTAACTTTTATCTCTATATAATTTGGGATGCAAAGCTTGGGAACATTGGGTCCCAATAGAAGCTTGATAGAGAAGGCTATAACTAAGTTTTAGTACCTGGAAAGGTTGTTTCGATGAAGGTCTTTAATGCTTGCAGTTGTACTAGTGGCATATTTTTTTTTATTTTGGCCAGTAGGGTGTATCCACTTCCAAACTTGTTCTTGAGATATTGTGGATTGCCTAGGCACTTGAACTTCCCATTTACCATAATGGCCAGTCTTGTACATAAAGCCTCAGATTCTTCCATACTGGGAAAATAAGGAATAAGAAAGAGGTAGTGCCACACCTGTGGTTTCCAGCCAAACAAAAATACAGACATGTGAGTTAAACATTTACCACAAGTAGATAGACGCCTTGGAGAGAACAATCATGGGAGAAAGAAGGGCTGCTTATGCACAGGGAGACAGCTCAGCAGGCAGAAGTGTATGGAGGAATGGACACTGGGAAGAGGTAACTATAGGGAGGAAGTGGGAGGGGAGCTGTTGCATTGTGGTAAACTGCGGTCAATGACATGAGACGAAGTATATGTGAACTGCTGTGTGGAAAGTGAATTTGCTCTGTAAATCTTCACCCAAA